CAGGGCGCGGGGGGCAGAGCGCGGGAAGGCGCGCGGCAGGCAGCGGACCCCGGCCCGCCTCGCCGGGCCTGGACCCCGGCCCCTCGGACGGGCTTCAGCCGGGAGAAACGGTCACGGGAGTGAGCGGAGGGACACGGCCCGCGGGGGCTTTGAGTGGCTCATGCCCAGCCCTGCCTCGGCCCGTGACAGCAACGTGCAGTTCCCAAATAAAACCGACTGCGGCTCATTAAGCCTCCGGATTCCCTTTCGTTCCCAGAATGAGCTTCAAAATAGATGATTTTATCTGTGCATCCTCGTTTATTTTTAGAGTATCTTCCCTATTGGTACCCACTACTATAAATACAAACCTTTTGTGCTGCAAAAAATTTCAAGACAGGAATGTAACTGGAGGCACGCTTCTGGTTTCCTTCCATCTTTTACGTGTCTTCTCATGTCAGTCAGTCCTCTGGTACCAGAAGTTTTCTGTGCCTCACACAAACTGTTCCTGTTACAAAATAGATTTGATCTTTCTGTTTTTAATGAGCAGGATGACATTAAAAACGTGGTTTCATATGAGCTGCTTCTATTGCAGTCTGTTTTCACCATGCGGGCGGTCAAACACTGATGGGTTGCTCGGAGAGGTTGTCCAATCTCCATCCTTGTTGGTTTTCAAGAACCGACGCAGCACAGCCCGGAGTAACCTGCTCTGACCTCAGGGCTGACCCAGCTTTAAGCAGGAGGTTTGACTAGAGCCCTCCTGTGGTCCCTTCTCACCTGGGTTATCCTACAGGATCTACAAATTCCTGTGGGCATGAGTGGGAGGGGGATCATCTCGTCCCCGCTCTGGGACATATGAGATGTTCCCTTTTTGCCCTAACTTCTGTTCTATTTAGCCTCTTACTATAAACTTTCTCAGCAAATAGTGTTACAAAGGGAAGAGCCAGGGTCTGTCTCACCAGCAGATTCCCAGGCTCAGTGACCTGACTAGGTCTCAACAGGGCTTTTTCCCATCTGGCTGAATTTCAAGAGCTGGGCTGTATCTTGTGTAACAGGAAAGATATTGTTCTTTAACACCACCACCCCCCTGACACACAAACAAATGTGTACACACACACACACACACACACACACAGTCTTAGTCATAATATTGTTTTTTAACTGTGCTGTTCAAATGATGTTGTCACAAGACAAAAATTACAAACTGGATTATGTTTGAAGACACTTTTCATCCAGTCAAGATCTGCCTTTCTCAAAGCCATGATCTACTACTGAAACCATAACAGAGCCAGGTCTTTCATACACCTTCAACACATAAAACATCCCAAGGAGGCCATTTTCCTCTGTCTTTAGTACAAAAGCAGCACTCAGCTGTGCTGGGGTCCTGTCTCCTATTAGTCTAATTTGTAAGTCTGGATCCTAATGAAAATACAGACTCAACACAGCACTTGCGCACATGCTTAACTTTGAGCATGATGAGCATCCCGTTGCAAAACACTCTGTGGTTGCAGCAGGACTGTGCTCCGAACTGTTCATGGATTTCATCGGCATCAGCAAAATAAACGGCTTGTTCTACATCGCCTTTTTTGTGACTCAAGTGTGCCCGAGAAAGCGGAACAGCAGAAGCTGTCCACTTCCCCTTGCCCAGTTTATTTTTACCGCTGGTTGCTGTGGGAAGCTATTGTGATTCAGTGTTGCAGTAGGAAGTTACTAACGCTGCTCTTGCAGCAGAGGATGTTGAGGTTCTTATGCAAGCCACAGTCACGGTGAAAATAGCTGACCTTTCAGTATGTTTATCAAAGCACCTTCAATTCATAAGGGGAACAGTAGCGGATTGTGCAAAGGACTCACATCTGGGTCTAAAGCCCTTGGTGTACTGAAAACAGTGCCCAGAAATCGGGACTCCTTGGCTGCCCTTTGGTGGTGCGAGGGAGGCAGGTGTGACAGCCGGTGTGCAATACTGTGAAACCAGAAGTGAAGCGTTTCACCTTCATTTTGCGGTCGCATTAGCAACCACATAAGTTTCGGGACAATCTCCAGGCGTGTCACCTGCAGAGGCAAGACCAGATTTCACCCTGACGAGGGTGAAAGTAAAATAATATCACCTAACACTGGTGTGGCATCCTCTGCCTGCCCAGCCAGGAGCGGAGGGACACCGGGAGAAAGCCCCCTCGTTTCTCCCATCTCCGGGCCCTCAGGAGCGCGGCTCGTCCTGGTGAATCCCCCGGGCAAGGCAGCAGGCAGGCACAGGCAGGGCTGGCAGCAGCAGGCGGGCAGCGGCTGTGCCAGCCTGTCGGCATGCTGCCCTCTTGAGTCAGCTGCTCTAAAGTGCACCTCAGCCAAAAGCCAGACGGAGTTATCCTCCTCCCAGCGCCAGGATCCCTTTGCCAGGCCCTGCATCCTCCCCGCAGCAGCCGGGGCTGCCATCCAGGGGGATTTCTTCCGTGAAAGGAGAAATCTCTGCTCTGCAAAGCCATGGGCATCCCCTTCAAACCCCCCCGCAAGGAGAAGGCACCTTGCACCCGCGAGGTTTCCCGAACCATGGCAGCTCAGAAGCGTGCAGGCTGAGGCCAGGATGGGGTGTGCTAGCACTTCTTCCAGCACAGCAGGACTGGCAGGGGCTCGAGGGTCTTGGTGGTTTTTGTCTCACCGTGTACGTGGCTTTGCTGACAGCTAGAAGATCAGCACGTGTCCAGAAATGAGCAGCTTTCAGCTCAACTCCGAAGAGTCCCAAGTGCTTGCAACAGGACAGCACAGAGCGATAGCCTCTCTACACGTGGATTGCCATCATCTCTGTGCCGTACTGCCACA